CCTCGGCTCCCTCCGGTCCAACAGACATGCAGGAGACGTGCAAGTGTGGAAGTCACAGCAAAAAATACTTAATTCTGTGAAAAACAACCTCCAAACACAGCTGAAAACAATGATATAAAGGCCTATGTTAATAATATCTATGTAAATATCTATGTTGAAACTGTCTCGCTGTCGTCTTTCTGAAACTTCTGATTTCAAAATAAAATCCACGTGTATCGTGTGTGTGCACATATGCTTCATGCTACGTTTCCATCTGCTTCCCAAACAGAACGATACATTCTGACAGCATTTGTGTAGAAATATATCCATATATTTATTAATACAGCCGCAATTTCGACATTATTCCGACAAATTATCCAGCCTAAAAGTGTCTTATTTTGAAAATACAGAAATTGTGCTCATTTCTTTTCCTGTTGGTGCGACGTAATCTTTAAAAACTGACTCCGGCGCTGCTCTGGCATCCGTCAAAAATAGGATCAGTTCTAATTTTGACAGATCGCCGTTTATCACCGCCGCCCTGCGCAGCCAGTGTAAACACTCATTGATTATAACAGCTGCGTATTTGCTGCGGAGGTCGGAGCGGAGCGGAGATGGATTGCATGTAGTGTAAATTGGGGGTTAAAGCAACATGTTCTTTTTGAAAGAATCAACAATAAAAAATCTAACTATAGATCTTGGCTCCAGAAAAGGTCAAAGACACTCAGCAATTCTTTCACCAATTATTTGTAAATTTCATTAGCATTAACGATACAAACTGAGGAAAACTGTCCTCCAGCTTGCTGCATGAATGTTTGTGAAAAGTGTGGTAATCCCAGTTCCATCAGCAGGTGTGGGGCACCAGTGTCACATTGTTCAAACTGGAAGCTCACTGGTCTTTCATCCTGGCTTTCCTTATGGCTTGCAGCAGGTACAGAGAAGGGAGGGGTTGTGGGTCTGAGTAGTTTGTGTGTGAAATAGATATCCCCCACTCGCTCGGACCTGAGCACAAAGCCTTGGTCTGTCAGTAGCACCTTGACTCGCTGTTGTTTGTGCTTTCCTGGCGCCCAGTTCATTTGATTACACGCTGCGGAGACTGAAAGGGAGCTCTTAAATACTGCAGCTGTGCCAGTTCTCACCGGTGACTCAGTCTCTGTGCATCAACAGAGTTTTAGGCAAAGCCTTTTTGTCGTCCGAGGCACCATTTAAAGTACTCCTGATATTTTAAAGCAAACCTGTCATCAAAAGAAAAAGGCAAAGAGGAAAAAAGTAAAAACGCTTCTGTTGTTGTTTTGTTTTCTGAGGCACAAAGGAACGGTGGGCTGGGCATGGATGCATCAAAAACTGAGCTCAAGAACCAACCTTTTAGGTTTTGTGCACAACATCTTCACAACATTTGTATCTGGAAATGCACTGCCAACCCAACAGCCTCTTTGCCCACACCTAAATGTGCTTTTAGGCAGCATTTAAAATAAAAATGTATCGGTGTTTATGTAAAAATACTGCCAGAGATGAACACATCCAATTGTCAGAGACAAGCAACATAAATTTGGCATCGGACGTTTACCCACTTCTGAAATCTGGCTGTAATGACATCTTTGTGGAAAGAACAGGAGAAGTTTAGACTGTTTAGTTTATCCTCGTGACAAAAAATAAAAAAGGTTGGGGGGGGGGGGGGG